CTCCAAACTTTTAAGGTTAACACTGGGAGAATAATTTCTTCATAAGGAAGGGACACCAAAGCCCAAATTATAAGTTGGAATTGCTCTTTGATTATACTGCCTCCGCAACCCTGACCCTCTAACACTGATCCAATTGTGGGCAAAAGACCTTTTATTTGATTTCCCCATTGTTGTTGTTGTTGTTAGGTGCCATTGAGTTGGAATCGACTCATAGCAACTCTATATATAAAAGAATGAAATACTTTCCAGTCTTAGGCCAATTTCATAATTGTTGCCATGCTTGAGCCCACTGATGCTGCCATTTTGCCAATCCATCTTGTTGGGGTTCTTCCTCTTTTTCTCTGACCTTCTACCTTACCAAACATGATATCCTTCTCCAGCAACTAGTCCCTCCTGACAATATGTCCAAAGTATGAGACAAAGTTTGGCCATCCTGGCAGATTTGCCTAATGCAATACGTCGTTTGATTTCTTGACTGCTGCTTCCATGAGTGTTGATGGTTGATCAAAGAAGAATGATGTCCTTGACAACTTCAATTTTTTCTCCATTGGTAAAAATGTTGTTTATTGGTCCAATGGTGAGGATTGTTTCTTTACATTGAGACGCAATCCATACCTCATAGTACAAATGATTTCCCCACAATACAAATGACAATAGGCTGATCCAATAAAAAATATATAAGCAAAGGCAATGACGAGTCAGGAAGAACAAAATTAACCAACAAAATATGAATGTAAGGCATGTAGGTTATAAGCCACCACTTACTGATTTTCAGTTTATAATAAGAAAACAATCCCTCTCTTTCTCATTCTGGGTTTTCCACCCAATATTCAACTACTACCAAAAAGTGTACCCTCCTACTAAAGACCCTAAGAACTTAGAAAGAGCTACAAACACTCACTGCTCAATCTCCATGAGCTGCTTTCCTGGGTTTCTGGACTAAGGCACTCATTGCCTCTTCCAAATGACTGAAATTAGGAATATTCAACCTTTCAGAGCTGTAAACTCAATCTTCCAGACCTCAAAATAAAGGATGACAAAGGTGGATTTGAACCACAAGGTCAGTGGTTCAAACTCACCAGCCGCTCCTATACTGGGTTGCTATGGGTTGGAACCAACTCGTTGGCACTTAACAACAAGTCTAAAGTGACACAGGAGGAAGGGGGAGGTTTAGAAGGAAGAGGGAAGCAATTTCCTAAATTACTTCTCCTTCTTTTGTAACTGTTAAGAATGTTCTGATATCAATGACAACCAATTCAGCTTTCCAAATACCAGTGGACTTCTAATCATCAAGACAAAATTCAATTCCAAGCTACTTCAAAAATTACAAAATATTCACAAAAAATAAAGTATAAATATAATGGTACCCTCTTTCAAATTACACATTATTACATTCTAAAATAATATCTATAACATTATTCATGTTCATATGAAATAGCTAAGAATACTGATATTGAGAAAAACTTCCAATTCCAAGAAATAACTAGTTTATACAATGAAAATAAATACAGCAGGACCGCAGTGAGGTTCAGTCAATACAACTAAAGCTGAAAACAGTGGTCATCTAAAGAATGGCTCTTGCCATTCTCGGAATAATCACTTTAAATAAACTCACTGAATCCACTTGGAAATTATTTCCCTTTGGCTGTCTCATTATTCAATATGCTTTCAAGGAACACGGTGATGAAAGAAGAAAAATACCTCTTTCTAACATAACCATACTGGCAAGAACATCAACATTATCAGTATTCAAAGAATGTCTTGGCAGGTTAAACCTTCATAAAAAGAAGGAACACTATCTAATCCAAGTTGTCAAAATAGCAATAGTACTTCTCATATTATGTGCAATATGATGGTTTCTAATGCTGAAAAAAAAATTCAAGGAAAGAAAGGTATGAGCCAATATTAATGTCTTTGTTTAAATTTAAGCAAGTACATACACATTCTTGAGAAAAATATATAAAGAAGATATAAGTATGTTTAAAGGAAAAAGGCTAAGAGTAAAGTAGAACTCAATATTAAAGGAAATTTATGATAGCATGCAAATGGTATTTGGGAGGTTTTACAATGCATTTTTAAAGTTTTGAGATACAACAGTACTATCAAGAAATGTAAAAGAAGAGAAAGAAGTTTAAAGCTTTCCTAAGAGTATGTTCCAATTCACTCCATGATTTTCTTAATGTAGTAAAAGCTATTATTTTACTATTTCAGATTTTGGAAAACTTGTCTACTACTTTCAAGGTATACCACACACTCAGCCTACTCTTCAGAATTGTACTAAAAATGACTGAAGGCCAGTTACATGTCTTTGCTCAACATAATTTCTGACAGGGTGTCCTCCTAAAATAATAAAATGCTGTATTTTATAAAACGGTGCTGTCCATTTTCAAAAGAAAATACTTAGATTGATAATCTTTTATTGATTGGGAAGCCAACATAAACTTATCAAATGCATTTTGTTGTTGCTGTTGTTCAGTGCCATCGAATCAGTTCTGCCTCTTAGTGACCTTGTATAGGGTTTCCAGGAGTTCTGGTGTGGCACTGTGGGTTAATGCACTGGGCTGCAAGGTCGGTTTGAACTGCAAGGTCAGTGATTCAAACTCACCAGCTGGCCTCGGACACTCTACACAGGGTCTCTAGGAGTCTGATTCGACTCTATGGCATTTAACAATAACAATAGGCTTTCAAGAGCAGCTAGTGGATTTGAATCACGGATCTTGTGGTTAGAAGTCCAGTACTTATCTTACAGTACCACAGCAGGACTCCAAATGCTTGTTGTTGTTGTTATTAGTGCCCTCGAGTCAGTTCTGACCCATAGTGGCCCCGTATGGGGTTTCCAAGGAGCAGCTGGTGAGCTTGAACCGTGGATCTTGCGATTCAAAGCAACTTTGCAGTCCACCCACAATGACACACCAGGACTCCTCCAAATGCTTAGAAGATATATATTAAAATTCATATGAATAAATGAGAACTGTTACATCAAATACTTCTGAAATACTCATTTCTATTATGAGATGATCATCTTTCTTCTATTGTATTTTTTCTAACTCTAAAATTTTCCCTTTAGTTGTACTCTTCTCTTTTATAAATAGGTCATTTATATTTCTCTTCATATTATGTTTTCTTCTGCTTTTCGCTACCCAATCATTATGTTTTTTCTGTCCCATGGGGACATTTGACTTTTAATTCAACTTTAAATTACTAACGAGATCACCGGGTTATTTATATTGGCAGGATGCGCCTCCATCCATCAACATCATGAGGAATCACAGCATGGTAGACATCGAAGGGATCTCAAATATCATTTGCTTGAGTCCTGTACCAATAGGAACAGGTGGCTGACTATTCTTAATTATTTTTCTTCCTTTTTTTACTTTCTTAAGATGACAAAGATTTTGATGACTGTTCTACCCTGGCTTAGTTTAATAAGTAAAGAGTTAAAAAATATATAGTAGAAAGAAATTATGACTAAAAAAGCCTAAAATCGAGGTTCTGATTTCAGTACTATAACTTACTGTCTAATATAAAACAATTCTTCTGAGTTTCAAGTTCCTCATGTCAACAGGGATAATGCTGTCTACCTTTCAAAGTTATAAACTTATTGTAAAGATCAAAGAAAATTACAAAAATGTCCTGAAAACTGGAGATGAACTACAGAAAGTTAGCATTAAAATGAGAAGACAACACAGTATAGTACAAAGAACCTGTGCTATAGGCAAGTTAAATTTCAAATTCCTTCAACAATTTACAAACTGTACAATCGTAAACAAAGTATGAAATTTCACTGATTTAGTTTGGAGGACCAAACTGATATAATGTCTGCTTCACTTGGTTTTGCTGTGAGGATTATAGGAAGTTAATGTGCCTAACCTAAGTGCTGGCACAGTGTAGCTCCTCAATAAACATTAACTCTGCTTATTGCCAGGCTTTCCTGCTTCTGCTCACTTGTCAATAAATACTTTAAGATACCAATGTGGAATTTTACCAAAAAGAAAATAAGTAAAATTTTATTCCTCCTAAGGTTCATCAGAAATCCTGGTGTGGTGTTGTAGGATAAGCACTAGACTGCTAACCGAAAGGTCGGCAATTCAAACCCATCAGCCATGCCTCAGAAACCTTACATAGTGTAGCTATGAATCGGAAATGACTCAGCAACACTTAACAACCACAAGATTTTTTGAGCAACAGATGGATTCCTTTCCCTATCAGCCTTGGTTTGAAAACAGAAAGAAATTAGCAGATTTCTTTTACAAACAAACAAAAAACACTTTAAAGAGTAAACAGTTTGTTTGCTGTTATGTGCCATGGAGTCGGTTCAGACTCATAGCAACCCTGTTATAGGGCTTCTGAGGCTGTAAATCTTCACAGGGGTAGTTTGGAACTGTAGACCTTGAGGTTAGCAGCTCGATTCGTAACCACTACCCTACCAGAGCTCCTTAAAAGACACAATAAAAGAAATGACACAAGGTGGTGAGCTCCTAGAATGAAGTTCTTAATGACCTTGATTATTTTCATAATCTATCATAGCTCTGGTAGCGTAGTGGTTACGAATCGGGCTGCGAACCTTAAGGTCAGCGGTTCGAAACTACCAGCCGCTCCGCGGGAGAAAGATGAGGCTTTCTACTCCCGTAAGGATTTACACCCTCGGAAACCCTGTACAGGGTCGCTATGGGTCGGAACCGACTCGACGGCACTTAACAACAACAACAACAATCATAGCACCTGGCAAAAGAAGGCACACATACACTTCTTGTATGAAAAAGTCTGTTGGGAGAATCACTGATCTTAGAAATTAAGAAATCAAAGATTTAATCAGATCTGTATAGATATCAGATGACAAATTGAATATGTTCTTAATATAATAAAGTTAAAACCAAATGAATGTGAACCAAATTTTTAAAAGAAGACTCTTTATATAGCTAACTGATTTATATAAAATATACTATCTCTTTACTGTATTTTATACCAAAAAAATCATAAAAAGCAAAATATTGTTTTACCTTGTTATGCATCAAAACAATCCTTAAGTCAGGTTTAAGAATACCATAGTTCACAAGGAGATCTTGAACCCTTTTTAGTTCATCTTTACATTTTTTAGCAGTTGAGTAAAATTGTTTTCTTACAGGCAGGCTCTTAAACAATCTTAAAGCAGTTACAGTTGTACCTGTTGGTGGGTAAGATGAAAGCATAGTTAGATTTGAAAGGAGTTACAGTTGTACTTGTTGGTGGGGAAGATGAAAGAATAGTTAGATTTGAAAGGAACTATACAGATCTTCAAATTTATCTATGATTCAGCCACTCACCCTTTTTATCACTAAAGGGGTTTGTTACTGAGTGTAAACTGATTATGGTAATGGAACTCAACCTGCTGCAGTCACATGGACACTGACTCACTCATAACCACCCTGTAGGACAGAGTACAACTGCACGATAAGGATTCCAAGGCTGTAATCTTTAAGGGAGCAGACTGCCAAATCTTCCTCCAGAGGAACAGCAGATAGATTTGAACAGCTGACCTTTCAGTTAGCAACAATGTATTTAACCACTGCACCAACAGAGCTTCTTGGGAACACAAAGCTCAATTTTATAAGCTATTTTGATCCTCTGCTAGACATTATCTGCAGCAGATTGACCTGCTACGTATTATGTTTTTTATGTGATCTGAGTAAGACTAATCTTATTTCTCCTACTGCTAAAAAAACAAAAAACAAAAACAAACAAACAAAAAAACCATGGGCTCATCAAAATGCAAATATCTCAAGAAATCTGCTGTATTAAATCATTTGAGGATGATCTTTAGTCTGCATTTTAACATACAATATCTAAGGATGCATAAACATATAAGTTGTTGCTGTTGGTTACCATCAAGTCAGTACACAGAGCACACAAAAAGTCTTCTCTCTCTACCACTTTACACAATGACCAGTATTTCTCTTACACGTTATTAGATATTTCAGGTATAAATTCTGAGTGGAATAACTGAGGTCATCATATATATACAGTATATAAAAATCTAAGACCTATAGGCATTAACATAAAATCCAAAAGGAAAATAGATACAAATGCAGATGTAATAATTAAACAAACAAACGAAGGCACCATTTCCAAAATTTTAAGGACAGGAAAATATTTTACAAACTTTCTGGCAGAAAGAATAAGTTCTTTACAAGTAAAGGCTAGTATCACACTTCTCTCAAGAGTATAAAAATGAATGAAATCTACAAACTATTAAAGGGAGCTAATTATTAATTTAAAAATCTATGTATAGTTAAGTTATGTATAAGGGCAAAATGAAGACAATTTTGGACTTGCATGTTTCTGAAGTCATCACCCAAGTATGATAAAAATGATAAAGAGTAACCTCTAACTAAATAACAATTACATCGAAATACATATTTTAAGGCAAGAAAAGACAAGAAAATAAACTTGATGAGTAAAGTCTCTTAAAAGTGAAATGTAAACAGATTATGGTAATACGGCTAGGATTTGCAATGTAACTATTAGGTAAGGATTCTTGAAATAAAAATAGTATAATATAGGGGAAAGCCTAATGATAGGTTGGAACTCAATATTTTAAACTATTACAACTAATATTGGGGACCCCTGGTGGTGCAGTGGGTTATGTGTTGGGGTGTAAAATGCACGTTTGACATTTCTAATCCACCAGCCACTTTGCATAAGAAAGATGAGGCTTTCTGCTCCTGTAGTTTTACAGCCTTGGGAATGCAATACAGGGGTGCTATGTGAGTCAAACCGACTTGATGGCACACAACAATTGCTGACTGTCATTAACTTTAAGAAAGGATTTGGTATAAAGAGAGATAAAGCTTACAGTGCCCCTACATAAGCTGGTCCCTGGTCAGTTTCTCTTTCACAACTATTCTTCCTTCTGTTCTTCTAACGTATCTGACTTACTTCCAACTGAGGGCCTTTGCATATATTTTGTTTGCCTAGCACCCTATCACCCTACAGATCTCATTCAAATATCATTTTAGTGACTCCATCTAAATTCCTTACTAAAAGTTTCTTTTCCAAACCATGTTCTTATTGTTAGCAGCCACTGAGTTGGCCACCAACTCCTAGTGACCCCCATAAACAACAGGACTGGATTATTACAATGCATAGGGTTTTCAATGGTTGATTTCTCAAAAGAGTTATAAGACTATGGCGGTTGAAGTTGTTAAGTGCCATCAAATTGGTTCTGACTCATAGGAAACCTACATAGGGTTTCTGAGCAGCAGTTGGTGAGTTTGAATCACCAATCTAGCAGTGAGCAGTCCAGTGCTTATGCTATACTTCCACACCAGGAACCCACAAAACTACGGCTAGAAGGGTCATAGTAATTGAATCACTGTATCACAATGTTTTTATGCTTGTTTACTTCTTGGCTAGGTCCTTCATCAGCATATGATTGTTGTTGTTGTTGTTAAGTGTTGTCGAGTCGGTTCTGACCCATAGCTACCCTAAACAGGGTTTCCAAGGCTGTAAATCTTTATGGGAGCAGAAAGCCTCATCTTTCTCCCGTGGAACAGCTAGTAGTTTCAAACTGCTGACCTTGTGGTTCACAACCCGATTCGTAACCATTACACTACCAAAGCTTCTTCATCAGCATATTATTGTCTAGCAATTTTGTGTGTCTGCTTTCTTAAAATTTTATGTAGGGTATTTCCTTGGCTTAGGTGGGCCTATCATTTTCACACTCAGAATTAGTCTTTGGAAAACCAAGGTGCTGCTACTCTTCTCTGCTTTGTTGTTAAATACTAGGGTGTCAGTTCCCACTCAGAGTGACCCTGCACAGGGTTTCTGAGGCTGCAAATCTTTATGGGAGCAGGAAGCCTCATTTTTCTCCCGCAGAACAGCTGGTAGTTTCGAAAAGCCGACCTTGAGGTTAGCAGCCTGATTCGTAACCACTACGCTACCAGAGCAACTTTGTTGTTGTTGTTATGTGCCATGGAGTCGGTTCTGACTCACAGCGACCCTGTACAGGGTTTCTGAAGCTGTAAATCTTTATGGGAGCAGAAAGCCTCATCTTTCTCCCGTGGAAAGGCTGGTAGTTTTGAACTGCTAACCTTGTGGTTTGCAGCCCGATTCGTAACCACTACGCTGTCAGAGTTCCCTTAGGAAAGTACAAAACCACTGCCAAGTTCTAGAGCAAAAGTAGACAGTGATCAAGGAGGGCATGCATATAACAAACAGAGTAAGTCAGCCTCCATTGCTAAATGGAAGAAACAACCATTCTAGAATTCACACAAGCCCCTCTAGGTTCCCCCTATATATCTCCATATAGCTTTAATTACCACCCGTATGCCAAAGATTCTTTTCATCAAACTGAAAGCAGCAATATAATGTCATGGACATCTGGGGGTGGGGAAGACCACTGCCAATTAAATTATCATCCTGTAAAACTTTAACAACAGTGCTTTCAACACATGAATTAGTCACAGGAGTCAAACATTGCTTTAATATTGTATCTATCCCTACAGCAATATCCTCAGTGTTATTGTTTTCAATGCTTGGCATGTGATTGGCAATAATTCTTCACTTAACACAACTTCATTTACTTGTGGATAGTTTCACTTTTTAGGTCTTATAAAAAATGCTGTTGACACTGTAGGATAACTGTTGGACTATTTACCACAAGGTCGGCAATTCAAACTCAACAGCCACTCCCCCAGGGAAAGGTGAGGAATTTTGCTCCCTTAAAAATGCACATTCTTGAAAATCCTAGACAAGGTCCCTATGAGTCAGAAGACATTAAAGGAACCTAACAACAACAAAGTACTTGTGTACTGCTTTGCAAGAAAACATGTTGTTGTTAGGTGCCATTGAGTTGGTACTGACTCACAGCAACCTTATGCACAGCAGAATGAAACACTGCCCAATCCTGGGCCAACCTCACTACTGGTTCCCACGCTTGAGTCCATCAATGCTGCCACTTGGCCAATACATCTCGCTAGGGGTCTTCCTCATTTTCTCTGATCCTCCACCTTACCAAACATGATAT